GGGTGGCTCCTCGCTGCGGGGTGCGGACGGCCCGGCGGCATGCCAGGCGCTTGAAGGCGGCAAGCGCGCTGCTCGGAAAACAAGGGTTGATGAGATGGCTGAAAACAAAAGCGTGGTGGTCCGCGGAACCTCTGGAGAAGGTTTCGTTTCAAAATAGATTTGTAGTGAAACGCTTTACGTCAGCTCTGCCCACATCGGATGACTTCTCAGCACCTTGCATATAGGACTTCCCTACCGTAGCCATGATCCTCGGTGTGTTTAATCTTGTGGTGTTCACTGTGGGTTTCATTTTTTTAGTACTTGGAACCTGTGAGGTTAGAAATAGATGTGAAGACTAGACCTGCAAGTAGGTTAGAGCTAATTTGGTAGAACTCACTGTAATAAAACTGCTTCAAGCCAGGGTTTGGGTTACTCTTTTGCCTACAGTGTCCAGGTAGGTCGTAGTTTGGTGAGCTCTGTGTGTCCTTCGCAGAAGGCTCTTATGGCCTGAGCATTGCTGTGGGGCCACATTAGACCGTGGCATACAGCCATGGGCTTTAAACAGATGTGGAAGTGAGGTTTCAGTATTGTGCTGTACGAGGAGTTGGATTCAGTATCCATGTAAAAAGGGTCAGTGGCTGCTTCCCAGTCTTGTACTAGAAAGAGAATAATTCTCTACATGTATCCTTGTTTTTAGGGAGAATTGTTTAGCCTTGGTACTGGAAGGGCCTGTGTGTATGTGTGTGTGCAAATCTTTAATACAGTGGGGTCACAAACTTAGATGCTAATTAGTAAGGGAAGAGAATGGACCCTCAAATATAACAAAACATACTGTGAAGTTATCAAAGCACTGTGGTCTTCTATTTCTGGTCTGACAGCATTGTGTAATAATTGGCTCTTCACTGTCTCAAGTATCTGCAGCTGTGTGCTGCTTGTGGAAAATGCCATTTCATATTAGGTTTCCAGCTTTTGCTAGCCTTGCTTCCCTGCAGGCTAGCAGGTGCATTTAACTTCAAAACCACATAGTTTAAGATCACTTTCTGTAGTGTCTGAGAAAGGTGATATGAGAGACATAATGAAATGGTAGGCGCATTGTTATCTGAATAAGGGCTGGGACAATTGTGGGCTTGGTTGTGATTTTTTTGGTTGGTTTGTTTGTTTAGCATCTTCCCGTGAACACAAATTAAACTTCAAGAAGAGTAAGGAAGTGTGTTTAAGTTACATTCAGGATGCCATGCTACAAAAGCAGTGGAAAAGGGCTGCAGAGTTTCTGACCTTCTATGTTGAGTCACTAGAGAAAGACTATTCTACGCAATACATGGGTCCATCAGAGGTAAGCCAGCGTCCCGTATCAGAGTTCTTTTGCAGTTGAAAAAATACTTGCAAGAAGCATCTGTAATATTTCCGGGCCAACATTTGTCTTAATTAACTAATAATAGGCTCAATTTTTTTTATTAAAAAAAAAAATCAGATGTCAAGACCTGAAAAGTTAGGCAACTTTTATAAACCAAACTGGTTTCTACAGAAAAAAAAAAAAAAGGCACTGAAGCTTCCAGAATCAAATAAGAAACTATTCAGTTGCTGATGTAGAAATTCTTGGATGGCAGGCTGCAGAAAGTACACCAGACCTCATCACTGGTAGTGCTCAAGGCAGCATGCTGTCCAATTACTCACCAGAAGTCTGCTTCTGTACAGGCATGCCTCTGCTGTGGGTTTAACCAGTCTTGCTGGTGCTTGAATTCTGCTGATATCTCCCTTTCAGGGGTGCTGAGAATCTGCAGTGCTGCCTCATGTTTTTCTTGAGTGTTCAGTGCTCCTGAAAAGTTTTCTGAGCTTGCAGGCTGGTTTTGTGGGCTTTGTTGGAGCTTTCAGTTGTGTGTTTTTTTGTTGTTGTTTGTTTTTGTTTTTTTTTTAAACAGACCCTTGACACAACAGGTGAAAGCTTGGCTTGGTATATGTTAATTGCATCAGGAGCATATCTATGAAAAGTCATGTTAATGTAGTCTTCTAAAATGGAAAAGCAATAGATATGTTTTCCACTGGCATGCCATCAGTCAGAATCTGTTCGAAAGTTGTGGCTTATTTTAGGTCTTTATCGGCTCCTTTCAAGACTCCTAGCAGGTACTGAGAAGTAGGAGGGAAGGGATCAGAGTAGTTATGTAAATGGAGTACTTGAATAAGGCTAGGCTGCTGGAATATTTAATTACATTCTGTAGGCAGACACTGAAAACAAGTGCATGTAGATGGGAAGCTACATCTAATTGGAAATAATCTTTACTACTGGGTTCAAATAATTGTGTGTACCTTACATCTCAGTGGAGACATATCAAAGGAAAACATAAGTTTTCAGTAACTTTGAAACATCCTGTTTTCAGTAACAGGAGGGGGAACGTTCTGACAAGTGCAATTTTCACAAGCTTTGCTGGAGTGCTGCATTTGTAATGAGCAGTTGTGAAGCACCCACTGAATGGTTGTAAAAATACTACTGGATGAGTATCTAGATGACTCTAGCAGTAGACAACACTTAGTATTCATTTTCTATTTGCAATTCAAATGTCCATTTTATTCATATGTACAGTAACTACAGGTTTTATAAGATGGTATGTATGGTGACTGTTCCCATTTTTTGCACTAAAGTTAGTTTTTAAATCCCTTTCTCCCCATTAATAGATGATTTGGAGAATAGGAACGGAAATTCTGTGCCATCATTCCCATAGCAGCATGAAAGAGTTCAACTCTTTCATAGAACAGATGAAAACTTTAGGAGTAAAAAGGTATTTGAAGGTGAGTGTACTTAATCTTGATGATTTTCCATGTTTACCTGGACGTTTGAGTATTAGTTTCCTAACCTCTCTCTCTTGAAGTGTTTTATTGACAATAGTGTCAAAAAAGATAGTACATCTGAGTTACCAATTGCATGATAATTTAAAGGTTATTCTGTACCTACCCATATCCTATTTGGTCTATGTATTTTATCACAGATGCATATTATCAGTCCTTAAAAGTACCTAGATCCTTCAATTAATTTTCTAATTTGAAACAGTTAAATTCTTTCATGCGTGACCCAGTAACATCTAATTACATGGTAACACCTGCCGATTTTTTTTCCAGTCTTTAATGTGGCCCCTGTTCTCCTGACTAAACACTTGTACTTAAATTTTGCCATTGTTATCAGCTCACTTTTCAAGTAACTGATCCATATATAAAACAGTAGGCCTACTGCGGACCCCTGTGTCACCCAGCTGTAGTTTTTCTTCCTGTGGTGGCTCATTAAAACCTATATTGTTTTGGTTTCGTTGACACCCTGACTTGTGATGATGCTTCTGTCTCATTCTGTTGTATTTGCTCAAGGCCTTCAACAGAAGTTCTATACAAGAGTTTACTAGAGCTAACTGAAGGTTTAGACTTTTCCTGCCTAATCAGCATGATAGGGTGGTAGGGCATCCCTCTTTCAGGTATTCTGCAGCTGGGTAGCCAAATGAAAAATCAGCAAATGTGACCCATCTGGATTTCCTCAGGTCATTTCTGGACCTTCTTTAATAGGTACAGCACTTGTTAATGACAAGCAGGTTTTTGAGACAACTGCTTTGTGCTGCCTTGTACGACGGAGTGTCTGCCACCACGTGGGTGTCTTGCTGCCCCACAGATTTCAAGAGCTTCAGCCCTTTCCCTCCCAGGGACACAGCTTTGTATATCAGATACGATTACTAGTGTTTCTCCAGCATCCTCAGATGGAAAACATTACTTAAGTTCTTGGCTTATCTCCCTGCCCTCAGTGATGCTTGTGTTCTCCCATTCCTGCATTTTTCTCCAAAATACCTTGTAAAGATACAGTTTGAAGAAAAGAGTATGTGTAAAATGCTCTTTTAATTAAAATACTTTACTGTTTTTTTAGTATTTTATATGCATGTCAGTAATGAGTCTCTTATTTCCCTGCACATCTGTGTAGAACTTTGCTGTATTGCTGAGATTCTCTCCATTTATTATGTGAAACGCTGTGGTATGGACTATTTGAATTGCAGGTTTGTTTAGAGCACACTTTTCATCTCCTTTGTAACGGACTAATAGATGAAGCTTACCAAAACCTGTCCCTGGCAGAAAGCTGGAGGTTTGGAGAACAAACAGTGATTCAGGATAAAGAAATGAAACTGATTCAGGCTTACAAGGGACTGTTGGACTACTATAGCTGGTCTAAGCAGAAAAATATCCTGTTGGAGCATGGTAAGTCCTAGAGTTGTTTTTGTGTTGGGCTGTAAACCTCACCTTGCTTGCTCGTGCAGACACCGTGGTTTGCAATGACACCTTTTCCATGCGGGTGGCTCTTCTGCATTTATCTGCACGTGAAGGCCCCAGAGGGAAATACTGGACTTCAGAATGTGATGGCATGGATGGTACCTAATTCCGTATCAGCAACGATGACAGTGCCAAAATGGCATGCTTTTCTGAAGTGTCCTGAAATGCTATTCTGAAACTTTTTTCCCCTGAATCACATTTCTTGTATCCAGGCAGCATCACCTAAAACAGTGATCAAAGGAAGGTATTCACCTACAGCAGTGGCTACTTTGTAGGTGCGTAAGTGCTTGACTGCTGCTAGATTTCTGAGTGCTAGCAAAAGCCCACAAAACTTGTGTTTGAATTTTAGTTTCTTTAAAGATCCAGAAGTTGCTACTTGTGTGTGGTGTCTAATTCTGCATATACCTGCTGTCTGTGTGTTATCAGTTGCATTGGATCTCTGCTTGTTTCTATGAAAACTAAGTATTGAATTTGGTTTGTGGACCTTGCACTGGCAGTGTCCTGTCTTGGAATACTGCTCGTCATGCCCCATGAATTGAAATTGGTTGATAATAAATTTGAATGAAGAGCAGTGAAAATTTCTTGTTCTGATACTGAGGAAACTGAGGCCTCTTTTCTAAAAACTCGCTGATTGGAGTCCTTGCTTAGTGAAGTGTGATCATTTCTTAAGTGCACCTCTCCTTCAAGATCTCTTTTGATTAACAACGCTAACTTTGTGGTGTTCTTTCATGTTTTGGTAGATCAGGATGGATTTGAAGACTTGTCAGTTGAACAGGAAATGCACAGTTGCTTTCGGAAGGCAGCAGTGAACTTAAAGGAGATTATTAAAATACCTGGAGTCTGGGATCTCTTCGTGAAATGCTATGTGGATGTAAGGGCAGGTTTTACAGATAACTTCCTTTTGTGTTTCCCTGTCTAATTTTCATTAAGATGTCTGTCTGCATCTTTTTTATGTGTATGGGGGTGACAACAAAATATTTTAAAAGCAACACATCTGTATGTGTATCTCACTGGCTTTGATTTAGAGCATGATTTACTCCTGGTGGAGCTGCAGAGTCTGCACGGAGTACAAAAAGGACTTTATCTGTGCATTGCCAAAAAAAAGAAATAGACAGCTTGCATATTTTGTTTTCATTGTGCTAGTGCAGAAATTGGAGCACAGCTGCTTTGTTTAAATTCCTGAAAGCAAGTTCTCTGTATTTGGCAGGGCAGTGCTTTTCTGGATACACTAAATGTTAAAGACACCGGACATGCAGTCCCTCTGGGTTTTGTTTTGTTGGTTGTTTGTTTGGTTTTTTAAAATATCTACTTCAAATTTGTAATTAAGAATTAAAGTTAATCTTGAAATCTTTTAAATTACTGAGTTTTTGTAAATGCTGATAAGCTCTGACTTCTTTAAGCACATCTTACGGAGTTTTGTTTGGTGCTGACAGCTGCCAAGTTCTCTCTTTAAAAACATGGCAGGCTGCTTCAGTGCCTCTTTCCAGTGTGCAAGTGCTGGTAATTCTTTGACAATTAAATAAGTGTTAAAGGAATTTTCTCCTGTAGCAGCTTCTATGTTTGAATTTTTGTCTATATGTGATAAGAGAGTAGCCAGTAAAATGAAAATACTTTGGTGTTAGCCTCGTCTAATATGCTGCACTCTTAAATACAGACTGCAATTGGATGTTTCTGTGGCAGCCCCGAGTTAGTCGTAGGAGTACGATTGCTAATATGTGGCAAACTAATGACAGACTTAACTTCTTGTAGTTGTTGGAGTTCTATGGAGACCATGATGAAGCTCGCCAAGTATTAAATGAATATGCCTACAACTCAAAGTTTCCTGCTAATCCCAATGCTCATGTTTACCTCTATCACTTCCTGAAGAGACATGGTGAATCAAAGAAATCGCTCATATCTGCACTGAAGGTATATATTATATTGTAGATACAGTCTGTGGTCATTCATGCTGCATGGTGGACTGACAATTTGGTTCAGTTGAATTCCTGTTATGTTATTTACCGTATTGTATTCTGTGTGGGAAGCAGAGAGTTAAAGGAAAGTTACTGGGAGGGATGCTAATGGGTGGAGCAAATAGGATCCTTTACTGTCTTTGAATTAAAGACTTTGTTTTTTTTGTTTTCCCCTTAACTGATCCATTATATAACTTCTTTAAGTCTACTGACTTAAAGTTTGAAACATTCTTTAAGTTTACTGACTTAGAGTTCAGAGGGTGTGTTTACGTGATTCCAGAAGCCTGTATCAGGAGTCTTGTACATAACGTGCATTGATTTCTGCTGCTGTTTCATCTTTACAGTATTGAAGAAACGATTAGATGCTTGCTCATTCACATATTGATCCTGTCTAGTAATTAGTTTCCCTGCTGGTTTTCAATGAGTCGTGCATTAAAGCTAAAATAGAGGTGAATTTCTTCTGTCTGTTAGCAGACAAGGCCTTGCTGTATTATGCTTTTGTATAGTTGCTTTTAAATTCCTACTTTCCTTGCCCTGGCTCATTTATCTTGGTAGCTTCTTGCAAACAATGTCTTGCAGCCTGTTTTGCCACTTGATGGCACTAACGTGCTTTCATTAGGGCAGATGTTTTAGAAAAGCTTCGTAAAGTTTATACTTCTAAACTGTAGCATATATGTATTGAATTGCATTATCTCAGTGCTTTTTAGCAGTGGTTTTATACACTGGTCTTTTACAAGATAGTGACAAATCAAAGAACTGGTCTGATAGGTCCAGAAACCGTGGTCCAACACACAGAGCAGTAGACAGAGGAGCTAGAACTGGTCTAGGAACAAAATTATGTTGCCTTCTAAAAAGGGGACACTGTATGTGGATTTGGGCTGTTACTTGAGAGCGCTGTATTTGCCACATGCAGTGTTTTTCAGTAGCCATCAAGGTATTTCATCCATTGTGTCACAGTAGTGTTGCAGATGTGCAAAATGGACCTAGATATTCATTCTTTATGTCAAGGCAGTAAGGTACTAGATTGCTTAATTTTCTTAACTGAAACACTCAAAACTCTGAAGCCTGTGCTTCTCTTGATCAGGTAGAAGTTTTCAAAAGTTTTCACATTAAAATAATATATTTGGGTTTTGTGGTTTTATTTTTTCAGATCTTGCATGATATTGTTCCTTCTCATGAACTAATGATAGATTTTAATACCATGCTTCAAAAATCAAGTAAGTCTTTCAATATCTTTGCTCTTTTCCTTTATGTTAATCTAGACTAATATTCTGAAATTATTCTGCAGCCTTCTTTCTGCTTTTTGAAGTAGTTAAAAACAAAAAAAAAGCCCAACCCCCAGCTTTCCAATCACAGGAACCTTTAGGTTGCATGTGTGAGCAGGCGGTCACAAACCTCTGTAAAAAAGTGCCTTTCTCATTTTAAAGGCTGATCAAAGCAAACTGTTGTAAGGCACAGCTAGGGTCTCAAAAATAACTTGAAAAGTTTTTTTTGAGGTACCCAACTCTGAATGTCAGGGTCTCCATTCCTTCTTTGGTGTTCCTGATTTATTTATTTATTCTTTCTCTTCTGGAGGAATTGAGATGAATCTATACTTTAGTTCATTGTTGTTGGTAAAGGAACAAAATCTTCCTTATCTTCAGGCTGGTAGAGAAGTCTTCCAGTCTGGAGACTGTTTTTCCATGCTGATCAATTGCATTCCATACTGTCTGTCTTCTTGTGCCTGGTATGTTCCAGCAAGTCAGCAGATTGGTGAAATGTCCTTGAATCAAGATTGTTCTCTCTTCTGCTTTTCCTCATTGAGGGCGGAAAAAACAACCTCCTGGCTGAAACCTCCCTTTTTCTGTTCAAGCATGGTACATTTGCTAACTTCCATATTAATGAGGAAAATCTAGTTTTTGAAGAAGTTTATACTGATAAACATAACTTTTCCTGTATTTACCTGCTGCAACAGGTCAAGTGTAGTTTTAAGAACTCTGCTGATACGTATAACTACTGATGTGAAATGTCTATTTTATTCATATCAGTCCCAGATTTGAGTTTGGTTTTTTTGGTGGCATTTTGGGATTTGAAGTGTTCCAGAGGCACTGTGTTCCATTCCCATGGGAAGAACAGATTGAACAGCAGTGCCCATTAGAAGCACTGATCAGTGAGCTTTGGAAAGAGCAGCTATTGTAAGCCAGGCATTGTGGGATAAGGGAGTGGTCCTATGTCTACCTCTTGACCCAGCAGTTACTGAGTAGGGTGGGAGTAGGGACAGAGTGTCTCTGATATGAGTTGTGCTCTAGAGCCAGGAAGTATTCCTTAACTGTCACTTGGAAGAGGCAGAAGGCAATGGGGGGAACCCTCAGTGATAGGGAAAGTAGCAGTGTGTGGAGAACCATATTTCACTTGTGGCTTACTAATGAGTTCAGCTTGATCTAAGCAATTTGTTAATCAGCCTAATCTTTTTCCAGGGAAAAGAAAAAAACGTCGACTGGGGCTAGAAGTTATTTTTGCAGGATTGGATTATGCTGGCTGGAAGGAAAATGTAAAAGCATGGAGCTGTTTGGCAAGGCAGGTGAAACAAATCGTAATGTAAGTATCTCTGATACAATGTGCTAAAAACAAATATGTAAAGGGCAGTTGACAGAGTGACACTCTGTAGCCTTTGTCTTCCCTGTTGGTGAACAGAATTATCATCTGGGCTATCCTGAGTTCTGTGGCAGTACTTGGCTTCAGTGGGCTTTCACTGGGAGAAAAGAAGAAATTATTATTGAGGATAATTCCAAATTTCCAGTATTATCATCACCTGAAAAAAGTTGTTGGTTTTTTTTACCAGGTTATATGCTTATGCAGAAAGAGTTACTCAGATGTTCAGGTAGCACTGACTGCCCATCACTTATCTCCCTCTTTTGGGGGTTGGGGGGGTGTGGGAAACCAAGTTGTTGGTTCTGCTGCTCTGTGACTGTGTGTGCATTATCTGAAGCTGGTTTGAGAACTGCTGGGCTGCGATAGGGGCATGACTGGTACTGTACAGACTGGCATGTTATGCGATGGTGGTAGCTGTTACAGAATGCAGCCAGTGTATTCTTAAAAGCTGAGCCAACATGCCTGGGGATTGATGTGTCCTTGCCAATACTTGACAGACATGGCCTCTGATTTCAGAAGGAGCCATCTCGGTCAATCCATGCCCGTAAGGCCTCTAATGTCTAGACTTTATTTTACCCAACAAACAGGGTGTAGTGTTTTTTAAGCCCTATGTATCTACAGTAAATTAATTCAGTACTTAATTTGACCCATTTTGCTGTTTTATTGCCACCTGCACAGGATCTGCTGTTGAGATCCAGAAGCTAGTGGATTAAAGCTAAGAGTGTTGTTGCATAGACTTAGTAAAAATGTTATGATACTCTAACTTTGCCTGCATTTTTGTATTTAAAGACACAACTTCAGAGTATCTTGAAGTATACTGGGCATCTTGGTCATTTTGTGGGAACAGCACTTCCCAGCTGTAGGTAGTTTCTAAGGTCTTTATTGCATAACAGTTATTGGGATAAGTCTTTGGGATAAGTTAGTCTTTGAGTATGCATAGAGCAACACAAACCTTTTCTAAAAACAAACCAGCCCCTTCATACTACTAATATGTTGACAAACTTCAAGAAACTTTCTTATTACTATTGACAAACTGGCACACAAGTCAAAGGCTGCTTCATTTCACACCATAATCTGTGTTATTGCCAAGTCTAAATAAGACTGCTTGAGTTCACCTCCTGCCTCGCTAGTGTTGCCAGGGATTAAAAAAAAAAAGGTTATTTCTGGTTAGATCAGTGTTTCAGCCTGCAGTGTAAGGTCAGTGTGTCTAGCCTAGCAATTTGAGATTTGTAGCAAGCTGGTTATAAAATTCAGTGCCTCCTAATAATTTTTTCATTCCAGTTTAAGCTTTTCTGTAACTTGTTTTATCTTTTTCCAGCTCTGAGAAGCATCTTGATTGGATCAAGCAAGAGTGGAGCTCCAGAAAGGACTGGTGGCCAGCCTTCCATTTTAGCCGTTACTTGGCAAAAAGGAATTGGCAGGAAAACGAAAGCCTTTCACATGAAAAAGCTCTGGTGGCTGGAATCTTGCTGGGAAAGGGTAATACTAAATATTCTTTCCTTCTCACTACGTAGAACAGAAATAATGTCTAGTTCTTGCCCTAATGAGAAAGCAGGCAGCTGATCTGCTCCCTGGAAGAAATGCAATTTCTTTTTTCTAGGACAGATTGTTGTCTTTGAAGCTGAACTTGAGAAGAAAAAATGTTTAAATTGGTTTGATATTTGACAGCGAGGCATGTTTTGCATAACTTGTTTTATTCTGGTTTAGAGTTCTGTTTTATCTGGCCCTGTTGAGCAGTCAAAATACTATTTATCTTGCTGTTTAATCTTCAAACCACAATTCCAAAAATGCACAACATGCTTCTGAGTGAACATTGTGAGAACTGCAGAGAGCGTGCTTGCTGGATGCCAGTCTAGGCAGTGAGTTGGGAAATACTGGGAAGCAGCTGGTCAGTAAGGACTGTGGGGGTCTTGTAATGCAGGAAAGAGAATGAAAACCATCAGCAGTTTGGGAAGAAGGTGAAGATCATGAGCTCCTTAGTAGCATTCTTTGAAATGCTGCCAAAACTAAGTGGAGTATCAGGACAAGAAGCAGCTGCTAAACTGAGAATGAGAATATGGTGTGGAGACCGTGGCTCATATGCTGGTTTCGACATTTGGTTGACAGGCAACTTATTCACTGTCAGCTTTTCTATAACTTTATCTTCTGGACTTCATAAGACAAATTCTCATATTGAAAGTCTGTTTTGCTTTCATTAATATGTTATCGAATGTCTCCCAGATTTTTTCCAGATGGCTAATAAAATTGTTCCAGGTCTAATTCTCTTTAATGAAGTTTCTGCTCTTGGTGTCAGTATGAGCCTCTGTTCTCCTTATCCAATGCAATAAGTTAACGTATGAGATCAATGCTTCCTTACGCTCTTGAATACTTTCTAATCTGTTTGAAAAGTAAAAACAAAAGAGAAAAAATATTTTGCAGGACACACCATACAGTTCTGTACATGTAGAATGTTTTACGGGTCAAATCAGGACAGATTATTCAATGCTGCAGTTGTCTCTGATGTGGATGTCTTGGATTATTTTGTTACTTTTAGTTACTGAAAACTTTCTTAGATGTTTGCATGTTATTTAAACAGTAAAAGCATTTCGTATTTGCATGTAGCATGGTATAACTTACAATGCTTTTTCTTTTTTTTCTTTCTTAGATTGCAAGTACTTTAAATATGTATCACACCAAGGCTGCAAAGCTCAGGTGAAAAGGTTTCGGATACTGAAGAAATTTGTCAATAAGCACAATCCTGTCTACCTGAGAATATGTGGTCTTCCAGACTCCTCTGTACAACCTTGATTAGAAGGCATCCTTAAGGTTCTTGCTGTATTTTTTTCCTCTCTGTGAAGCTGACTTCTGTATTGGTGCTATTCTAAAACTTCTAGGCAGACTCTATGGACTCAGTACTAGACTTTTTCGTATATTTTTGTAAAAATGCTTTGGTTTGTATTTTTTTATAATAAAATGAATAAAATCCACTGATAAGGTTGAGGAGTTTCTTTAATATTAGTCCCATCTTTCTGTGTAAAATGCAAACAACGTTGATTTCAAATACATCTTGGAAAATATTTAGTATTATGGTGTGGAATTTCTGTATCAGTAGTATTGTAGGGTTGATCCTCCCTACATTTAGATGCATAGATGGTGATTTAAATGACTGCTGGAATGTAGGTCAAAATCCATTCAGGAGTAGCAGTGGCATTCATAATGGGTGTAGTATCTTCCTAGGAACAGGATATGATGTAGAGTGAAAATGCTTTCTCAACCTGTAAAGGTTACATAGCCTGCTGCCTCTAACTGATTGTTCCCTGAAGTATATTGAAAATGGGGAGGCATGTGTCACATTTTTTGCATTGTATATTGAGAAGAATTATAGGTTGTGAAGATCTACTGCAGCTTGTTCAAATTGATGATACATTTCAACATAGCCAAAGGCAGTTTTCCCACATGTCATACTTACGGGTTGTGTGTCCAGTTCAGGGATTGTTTTCACGTTATTGGTAGGAGAGAGTCAAAGGTTGCTGTAGCTGCATGGCTACATAGGAAAGCTAGTGTTGCAGTGCTTTGAAAGGGTGGAGGCACGGAACTACTGAAAACTTCTCTGCCTGGTGGAAGAGACTTTCTAGAATCTTTTTGCAGTCTTGCCTGTGAGTTGAAATATGCACTGCTGCTGTGTTTGGAAAGCAAATGTTACTGTTTTGTCACAAACTAGCATTCAAGTTTCCTTGCAAACAACAACAAAATGGCTTCTAAATACTACTTCTGTTTTAATGACAGATCTGTAGAACTCTGGTGGATGAACTGCTTGAACTACCTCTGGGAATGAAATAAAGATATCTCTAATAGCATAGTAGTATATGGATAAGTACAGCTATGCTTTTAAAAGCTGAATGTTTATCTGTGATTTTGGTATGGGTTAACATGGGTCTTGTGATATGTGCCTCAAGACAATGTGTCTTAAACATTAAGTGAGCTACTTGCCATAACTGTATGTTCTATCAAAAAAAAAAAAAAAAAAACGCAAAACAATTACGTGTCATTCCAGACCTGTGTGCTAGCTTAGTTCCGACTCCCTAATAATGCTGCTGACTTGTTCCTTAGTAGTCTAGTTTTTTGTTGGAGGTCTTCAACTGAGTTTTGACAGTTTTAATTTAGATTGTGAAGTTTCAAAACAGTCTTCTCCTGCCTCACTCCTGTGATGTGTCCCACACCCCTGGGAAGCAACTCCCACTTAGTCCAAAAGGTGATCCAGACTGTTGCTCCCAGTGACTCATCTTGATAGGTTTCATGCCTGGTCAGTGGGGCTAAAGCTGTCCTGGGACAGCCTAGAAGGCAACCAGGCAGGGTGTCCCTTCCCTGGAGTCCTTGGTTTGGCTTCCTGCCTGCCATTTGACCCTCTGCTCCTCTGGACTTGCGGAGATCTGCCTTTGATGGGCTGGTGACTCTCCTGTGATGGGCCTGGGAGCATCCCAGCAGGGTATTATATGGGCTTCCCCCTTCCATTGTCCCTCTGTGCTCCTTTGTGGGTGTGCAGAGGACCTGTTATCATATAACCTAACAGAGAATAGTACAAAACTTGAATGCTAGAGCCCCTGCTGCTTGTTGAGAGGTCCCATATAATTTCCCTTCTGTCTCCTTAGCTGCCTGTGGGAGATATGTATGCCTTGCAGCAACTGAGAAACCATCTTTTTATTGCGGAAGAAATTTGAAACAAAGCAGCGGAGATTGGGGTGGAGGTGAGAAGAATGCAGTAAGGAGAATTGAGAGGACAAAGAGGAGCTTGATGTAGCTGAGACAAATCTGTTTATCCATTGTGCTTACAGCTTTCTCCTGTGACCTCTGGAAGCAGGACTGCTGTGAGGGATCATGTTCTCTCCTGGTGCTAGAACTATCGTGCTGCAGTCAGCAAGTAGAAGAGCAGCACAGTCCCAGCTTTCACATAACTGTCCTAAGCATTGCTCTTTAATGTCCTGCAAGAAACTTGCTGTGTCCTGACACCATACTACTTACGCTGACAAACCTGCAGATCACAAGTTCTGAGTGTAATTTCCTGTGTAAGTTACTCAGTGCGTACGGTGTTTTCAAGCTTGTGTGTTGTACTTTGAATACGGTAACTCGTAGCAGACTGGAATATTCTGCTTTGGCTCTGGATTCTGTGGTCTAGGTTTGGTTTTCTTATGACTTAACATCTTCATCCTGTGTGGAAAACTTGTGTGAGGTTTTTTTCCCCTACCATGAAACTAAGAGCATGTCTCTCCGCTGATCTCCTTTATGCAGAGGCAAGGAACTTGTTCAGGGAATCCACATCTTCTGGTCCACAGACCCAGTGTCTGTTGTCCTGTTATTCCATCTCTTGGTCTGGTACTTTTAATATTAAAACCTAACATAATGATTACACAAAATTGCAATTCACTTCAGCTCTGTCATCTTTCCTTGTTGTTCCATGTGTGTTTTCAATACTCCTGCTTGTGCCGTCCTGTTTTAAGAATGTCTTTACTGACGCTCAAGCAAAGCAAGCTGATGAAGCGTCAGCTGCTTTTAAAGGATGTCGATCCCATGTGTTTTGACCCCCTTCTTCCCCACTGTGCTCTCTGTATTCTGAGCAGCTGGCTAATAGTGGAAACTTGGGCAGGCCTTGCCTGAGCTTTCAGAGCAGTCTAAGCATATTGTCAGTGCTAAACAGGTGCATGTTACCATTGGAGTAGTCACTGCAGAATCAGAGGGTTGATGAGCCTTTTACTGGTTCAAATTTGCAGTTCTTCAGGGCTTTCCATAGTTAGCGTTCTTATCTGCGATGGTAAATGTAAAGTTCCACTAAGTCTTATCTTGCTGCATTTAAAGAATGGCTGGAGGTGGTGCGTTGGCCAAGGACTGCCCACTGCAAGGAGTCCTTGGGTAACGTGAGCAGCAAGCGCTGTGGGAGGTCACGCGTTCTCTCCTTGCCAAATGCAAGTAAAGCTGTGCTAGCTTTTCTGCCCTCATCAAAGAGCAGCAAGGAGTCTTCTTGCCTCCTGGTCCAAAGTATCCAGTAAGTGGAAAGTGCAGTTCTCTACATGAGTGAGTATTCTGAGTTTTTTATCTGCAAGTGATGTGTCTCTAGGAAAGGGAGAGAAGTGCTCACATTCTCTTAACAGGAATGGGTTGAACTGGTGGATGATGATGTTAGTTACCACAAAGAGCTCAGTAATGCTGAAGGAATTAAAAGCATAGGGAACTTGCAGCTGTAGTTACAAGTGAAGAGTATGTGAATGATCTCACTCATTATCCTTGCTGTTCATTGTGCTTGCAAAATACGTCAGTTGCCAGGGGACACCAAAGTAATGCCTTAATTTCAGTCACTGTCTCCAGTGTATGAGAGTAATAACTGAGATAAGCTGATCCTTCAGCAGATTTAAATACTTGGATTTAAAATGCTTTATCTTTTGACAGTGCTGAATCTTGTGACTGGCATGTTTCCAGTTCACAGAAGTCCTAAGCAGAGACGTTATTATTGGCAGGCTGTTGGATGATCAAGGTGCCAGAAGTTGGTCATGGCAAAACAGGTGATGGTTAAAAACACAGAGATCTTTTAAGAATCATTTCTCAATAAAGACTCTGAGGCGAGTTATAATCAGGGAGTATTCTCAGCTGGCATGTTGCACTGGTTATTGCATTGGGAAGCTAGGACTGGGAGCTTTGACTTCCCCCCGTGCTGAGCCACAAGCAGATAGACCCTTGGAGTAAATGGTGACGTGTGGGGAGAAGGAAAAGAGTTTGAGATGAGTGGAAGAACTTTCTGCCTGTGCTCCATGGAGGGAAAGCAGCAACTAAGAAGGCACTAGTAACAGCACAAAGGCTATCTGTGCATTGGCCATATCTCCTAGGATCTGTGGGGAGGAGAAACAGCTAATTGCTTTTTTTAATTGCTTGGCTCCTCACTGATGTTTCAGAAGTAATGGAACAGATCACAAAGCCTAACTTTCCAGTAAGCTTTCCTGTATGGAAATGTCTAGTGGGTGGGTGCATGCTAAAGCCTCTTTCGAACAGCATCAGACTGGCTGATGGCTCCCGCAGCTGCTAGGGAAATCGTGCCTGACTCCTCCGTGTTGGATCACTTGAAGAACAGCAACACACCGAGAGCCTAACTCGTGCCTCGTGGTGCGTACAGCACGGTGGTGATGAGCGCTCTGGGTGCGTGTGGGTTTGTTGCCTTGTTACGAGTAGCAATGTGTACATGAGAGGAAAATGTTTGTTTCTGGTAAAGTGAGAAAAGTGTTTCTTTGTGGTAAAGTGCTTGGTTGTGGTCAAAGCGCTCTTGGTCCGCTTCTGGAGGAGTGGAGTTACGTGTCCTGGTTTCAGCTGGGATAGAGTTCATTTTCCTCCCAGTAGCTGCTGTGTTTTGGATTTAGTACCAGAAGAATGTTGATAACACTGATGTCCTCAGCTGTTGCTATGAAATCAAGGACTTTTTCCGGTCTCTCCTGTTCAGCTGATGGGCAGGAGTGCAGGAGCTGGGAGGGAGCACAGCCAGGCAGAGAGCCCAATCTGGCCAGTGGAAATATTCCATGCCATGGACATCATGCTCAGTTTATGAATAGGGGTTGGGCGGGGAGCAGGGATCCTCTTTTCTGGGAGCTCAAACTTTTCTGTGAGTTCAGTCATTTTGGGGGGAGTTCTGCAAAATCTGTTAGTTCCATGTTCCGCAGTCACTGCTTGGGAACTGGCTACACAATTTGTTATTAGTAGTAACGTTAATAGTATTAATATTTTTCCTTTGTCTTATTAAGCTGTCTTTATCTCAACCCATGAGTTTTCCCTTTTGTCCCTTTCCCCCTGCCATCCTGCTGGGGGTGGGAGCGAGCGGTGGTCTGGCGCTCGGTTGCCGGCTGCCGGGTTAACCATGACACCAGGGAAATGTCACTCTCGGAAAGGCAGGCTGAGTACAGTGTGTACAAACGTGGCACACCCCCATATGCAGCTGATGCTGTACCTCACCGACTGACTGGTGGGATCGCTCACGCATTCGTTACTAGTGGGCAGAAAAGAGATCTCGTGTATCTTTAAATCAGTTTAACGGCAGCTGAGATAAAGCCCACTGAAATTGGTTACCTAAAGGACAGGGTTACCACAGAATATCAGTGGACTTCACGTTGTTCTGGTCCCTTAAACGTGTGTTTCCTCTTCCGCACTTTCTGAATTTCTTCTTATTTTAACCCTGAATTTATACCTGGATTTGTGGGTAACAGCAATATGTCTGTAAAGCTTTTTGTCCTGAAATTAGTTGTACCTATGGTTAACTGCTGCCTTAATTAGGTTGTAATTTATGACCCCTGTTCAGTGTTTATAAAACCAGACCCCAGTTTGGTGCATTTTGAGTTGAGTAAAATGGTAGTTAGCAATTGAAAATTACTTATCTTGTGCTTTTTGTAAATGGGGAGAGATGATCAGGTTCTGTATATAGGTATCACATTTCATATTTCTGTATGTTGTTCATATTTCTCGGTGAAGGATTTCTCAGTCAATTTAGATGAAGATGTAAGGATTAGGTTTCTGAGTGCTTCTAGGGGCATGAGAAATTTCCAGAGGGGAGGGTTCAGCTATGTGACGTGTGGAACACCGAAGAGGCAGCCCGGAGGGTTTTGCTGCTGCCAAGTAGTAAACTTCAGAGAGAAAAAGAGAGAGAATGTAAGCAAACCTGAGTGAATGCTGTGCTCTGGGGCTGGCAATTGATAAAGTGGAGAGGATGAATGAACCATGCTACGAAGAAGTCCGGGATTTCTATACATCTGACCTCAAGAAGCCTGCACTGGTGGAAGTGAATGTTTGGCTATGCACTGGAAGGAGCAGCAGCAGGAGCTCTGGAGTTTCTTTTTCTTGCCCACATGTATTTCTTTGCCTCTGCTTGTTGTGCCTGGTAGGCAGTCTGCTGGGACATCCTCAGTGTCTGGATTATGGGCCACCTTTCCAGCCCCCTTTTCATTTGGAGTTCTGCTCTGCATATGAAAATTTTGGCTGCTGTGACCAGGAGAGAGACAACAGCATTGCAGCAAAATACTGGGACATCATGGATTATATCGATCCCCAGGGGCATAAGCTATGTGGAACGTATATCAAAGATATCCTGTGTCAGGTAGGGCAGAAAAATAGTGTCTGTATCCTATGCTTTGGGCTGACTTGAGGGATCAGTTGTGGTTCTGACAGCCTCATAGCTGTGTTGCTGTGAAAAGAGGTGTGGGAAGAGGGGAAATGTGGGCTGACAGAGTAACGGTACCTAATCCTTAGCATGCATTTTGCAAAGTGCTTTGTGTAAAGTGCATCTCTTTGTGGTGTCTGGCAATATTTAATGACATTTGCTAGCAATAGTGATTTATGAAAGCATTGCCCAACTTGGATTATGATGGGAATCCTGCTGCGTTGCTAATTTTTTCGTAACAAAGGGGAGAGTTGCAGACCAATACTTGCTTTCTGCTTGCAGCTACTAGGTGCTGGATTAAATTTGACCAGATGAAATATGGGAATTATCAAAGTGTTTGGATCCCTGGACCCCATGAAGGATGTGTTTTGATTGTGTTCTTGCTGAGGATGCTCCAAATGGTGTGGTTGTTAAGGCAGAACAAAATTCAATAGGCAGTGGTTTCACACAGCTGCTGCAAAGTCCTGAGGCTTCGGTCACCGCATTTTCATCAGTGCTTTCTGCCCACTGTCCTCCTGGCTTGCAGAAACAGGCATTGTGCAATGAGAAAAGACACTGTTCTTCCTGAACTTCCCTGCTCCCTGTAATTAGAGGGCAGAACTGACTTGCTGTTTTAACAAATGTTAGTCATGCAAAGCTGGAGTTCCTGCATGCCAAAACACAAAGCAGCCAAAAGGCATGCTTAGTCTTACTAAAAACATATAAAACTCTTCTGGTTAATATTTCCTTAGCCCTAAAATATCTGTATACCAAAATGTTTCCACTCCTTTTGGATGCTGGCAGGACTCTGGCACCTCCTTGGGGAGGGCTGGGACACCCTTAGAGCACCAGGGCTGAAAAAAGTAGCATCAGGGTTGTTTGTCATTTTACAGCTGGTAAAGCAGAAAAAGATGTGTTACAGGCTCCAGCAGAACCACCAGCACTGATGTTCTGAAGATTTTTCACCATGTTGCAAGTAGAAAAAAAAAAAGACTGTAAAAACGTGCCTGTTGCCTCTTTGTTCGTTCTGCAGGGCATAATTTAATTTTGCACTTGTTTTAAGAGTATGTTGTAGCAAAAAAAATGAACCCACCCTATGTATTTTCTTCTATATTTTCAAAGTAATCAGTTATTACTCTTTTCATATCTTTCTGGAGTAAGATTACTGTTAAATCTTTGGGGAGAAGCTTGTGATTGTTTTATGTGTTGCTCTTCCTGTTCAAGTTAGTGATGCTATGGGAATAAGGTTGGCTTGTCTGACAAATATTGTTTGGCTGTTGCTTGAGTGGAGGAGCAAAGATCTACCAAATGGTTTTGCTTTAGTGGTGTCACTTTGCTGGATTAAATTGTTACTGATGATCTCATGTGGAAGGGATGGAAAATGACATCTCCATTCTAACACCTCCACAGTATCTTCACAATTTGTAGTCACTACCCATAAAATGTTGACATGTACTTAGTGCCACGTCAAATTTGAAAAGACAGATGCATATACGTGATCAGGATGTAATTGTGCCAAATGCTTATTTCTGCTGTGTACAGCAGACTTCAGATAAACTGCTGCCAGTAACAAGTGCTTTTATTGATATTATTTGCATGGAACTTGGAATGCAAAGATTAGACTCAGAAGCAATGGTAGACAAAATAGTATTATTAGCTTTTGTCTTTTGAACAAAACAAATTTCAAGAAAGAGGTGTAGGTGCTTTTTTGCTAAACCTGAATGATTAGTAGCCACTCTAATTCAGCGAAAACAGCATTATTCATGTCTTTGGGGGAGATCAGAGTAGTAGAGATGCGTTGTAACAAAGCAGCTCATTCAGTCAGGTGTTCCTTCAGAGCCAAAACCAGCAGACAGTAAAAAAACAGACAATTTTTTTCCCCCCCTCCAGCCTTCCTGGCATGGTGATGAGTGGTGTGCTGAGCGTTACACAGAGGAAGCTGGTTTTGGTGGCTGCAGCAGCCTTGCTGGTTCCACAGAGCCCAGGAAGGATGCCATGGAGTGCACCTTACCTTGGCAGCGGAGCTGTGTGTTTCTTACCAGATAGAAGACAATTAGATGGGGTTGTGTGCTGGATCATAGATCTCCTGCTGTCACTCTGAACCATATCTGTTTCTTTTTAAAACTAACAGGCTAGAAGGGGCATCTAAAGCAATCTGGCTCTGCTGGTAGAGCTGCTTCGGTTTGCATCTGGCAAAATCTGGGTCTATTTTTGCTAGCTACACTTGTTCTAAGCATTCATAGGTTTAGAGTCTGATCTAGGATTTATCTTAAAAACTGAATGTGGAACTCTGAAAACTGCCCATAATGTTCTTAAGGAGGTGTTGTGCAAGTTGCGTGGCTATAAAAATTCCCTGGATGCAAACCTTGCTACATGAGCTCAAACAGCTGTTTGAAAAGCTGGCTGAGAAAATGTTTCTCTGTTCAGAAAGCTCCTACAGGAGACGCTTAAAAAACCAGAAAGGCCAATTAAGCCTTGTCCGAGCTGATTGAAAGCTGTGATATTACCATGGGACAGGAGCTAGCGCAGGGAAAGCAACATACTTCTTAAGCCGGTTTTCATCTGAGGCCTGATTTGATTGCTGAATGCACACTCCTTTTGCAGGGAAAGTATTGCAAAACAGCAGAGAAGTATCAACTTGATCTTAGCAGCTTCTGCTTCTTCCGCTCTATGAAGCAGTGAGATTAATTGTATTGTTTCATGCACGTTTGAGTGGAAGAAAGCAGGCAACCAGCGGTAACAGCGAGGCCACCTGATCCTGGGAGTTTGTGTAGACCCTGAGGAACAACATCCGTCTCGTGTGCCTTGCTGGGTCTGTGTGCTGCAGGTGTCGTTCGCCAGGCAAACGCTGTGTGGAAAGCCCGATGGCTGGAAAAGCACAGCAACCGCTCAGGGGCTACGCTTACTCAGGAGGATGAACTGCACGACCCTTATACTGCAAACTGTTGGTGGAGCTCAGAGGTGGTGATAATATGCCTTGTTTCAGAGGAAGCTGGTTTTCTCAGATTGCTGGTCTGGGAGCTGGACTCTGTTCCCAACTTATTGAGAGAAATTAAAAATGTTTTCAAAGACTTTATTAAAGTAATTGTTTCACAACTGAATTGAGAGGAGCTTTAGACTGTGACTTGTGCACAAGGGAGCAGTGAGCCAGCAGTCACCACGTGCGAGCGGGGACAAGGGAACTTCCCGGGACTCAAAATGCAGCATGGGTTAGGCTCTGTCTGCTCTCCCCCACCTTTTCTTAGTGACACCTTATCAGGCTGTCACCTCTCCTGGTCTCCTAGTCACTTAAGATCAGCACCATATTTTGTGAAAACTATGATGTAACTAGAAACTCACAATATTTGGGGGTGTGCAAGTGTGTACTGGTGAAAGTGGAGGGGGTGAGCAATGGTTAATGGACTTAGTAAACGTCAGCGGATGAATATGGCAGCCAAGTGCTCTTGAAGGCCTTCACCAAAGCTGCGCTCCTTCAAGAAGATGAGAACAGAAAGGCACTTACCTGAGGCTTTGGCTTTTGGGGATGGCACTTGGCCTAACGGTGCCCTTCCTTGTTCTGGGAAGACCTGAAACATCGGAAAAATGGTGTGGTTCTGCCAACTAAGGCTGGGCTTAGGCTGCAAGGACAGACCTGGTGGACTTGGCTTCCCTTTGCAGGCTGGGGACTTCTGATCTGGGAAGAGGAGGAGAGGTTCCTTACAGATGCAATGTGAAAGCAGCAGAAACCAACTTGTTCTGTGCAGCTTTATAACCAAATGGCAGCAATGGAAAGTGAGAAACCACACCATTCGAGAGTTGAAAGGGCTTTACTCCTTACAGGTTGTATCTGTTCATAGTATGGCCAAAAGCCCTCGGGTTCTTCTGTGAGCAAAGGAAACAGTTTGCTATGCTAAGTTTGGAATGAGGGTCTACAGCCTTCACATTAAATATCCTGGAAAGGCTGCTACTTGCACCAAAAAAAAAAGGTCACTGCTTGTATAACTGCCCCAGATTTGTTTAATGAAGCAAACTTGTTTAATGAGGCAGAAAAAATACTAGTGTAGTAGTTCTTCATTCATCAAGTGTCTATGTAATTACCTTCCTACACGTGTGCCCAATAAAATCTCTGGATAGATTGTTTCAGGCTGCTGGCAAGAAAACCAGTAAAATTATCTTTCTGCAGAATTTAGCTCCTTCTGTTTTAACTTCTGCAGTTTTGTGCTGATTAAGATAGAGGTGGGATCTTAATGGAAATATTTTATAGAAGTTCTGGCCCAGAATTTTTGCAAGATGAGTTTAAACTTAGGTACAAATTCAAACAGAATGCCTGATTTCCAGTATTTAACCTACATTTTGCACAGCTAAAAACTTAATGATATTTGAAGGGACGTAATTTTAGATACACAACACTTGAAAATGTTGCCTGCAGTACTTTTTTCCTGAAGATCACATATAGTCAATGGTAGCTACATGAATTGCATAAGAGGGTATCTAATTATCTGAAACAGTTTTAAATCTGAACTACAGTCTGTTTTAGTGATGCATGCAAGAACACGATCAAAGTTGTACAGCATCAGACCAAAGATTAACTTAGCCTGTTACTTTAACCAATGTACATCTTTAGCACCTACAATTTCTTCTGGGAGAGTTTCACCTTCTTTTTTAACCTGGCTCCTGCTAGCTTTATCTAATGCTCATTCATTTTTCTTCTGGGGTAAAGGGTGAACAAGTGGTCCGCATACATCTTCTCAATGTCACTTGTGATATCTACAGACCTCTGTCAGGCCGTTACCCTACTTGGACCACCTCTCTGCAAAACTGCTCAGTCCCATCTTAATTAGCTGTTCTATATCTTTGACTATGCTTGTGGATTTGTTTCCTGATGTTACTTTTGGGAGGGGGACCAAAGCTGTGCACAGTGTTGAAGATGCAGGTGAACCTGTAGTTTTTTTGTTTTTCTTTCTTTCCTGATGCTTAATTAGACCTAGGTATGGGCTTAAGTGGCTTAAGTAAAATCTTAAATGTATCTGGAAAAGGCTGTGATGCTGGCTGATGAAAAAGAGGTGTTCAGATTTGGGAGTTTTGGGAGAAGTCTGAAGTATGAAGGCTAACATTCTCCATAGTGCAAAAGGTTGCTGCGGCAAGGGATTGAAATTCTTCTCCCAAACTGTTAAGCACAGGTTATAAAATACTGAATTCAAAATCTAGCATGGGAAGCTAAGGGAGATTTCTAAAAGCAAATGTAAGAAGAAATTGCAAAATGACATTGCCTGTCACTTCCTTCAAAACCTCGAGTAACGGAGAATCCACAGCCTCCACAGACCCCCTTCTGTTGGGAATAATTTAGGTGCAGCTGGTTGCTTTGGTAAAGAAAACAACTACTGACTTCTAAATCCCCTTTAGCAATATTCTGAGTGACCTTCTACTACACCATTTCAAAGATGACTCATTATGTTCTCTGCTTTACTAATTTTTCATTTTACTAACTGGTTTGCTTCCATGAAGGTGCATTGGCTGCTTCTGCATGTGTGTACACAGCCACGTGTTTAGTTTCTTTTACTTTCTAGGAATGTTCTCCATATGCTGCACATCTCTATGATGCAGAAAACCCTCGGACACCGCTAAGAAACCTCCCAGGACTTTGTTTTGACTACTGCTCCGAGTTTCACTTCAACTGCCACTCTGCCATCAGCCTGCTGACAAGTGATAAGCACATCCAAGAGTGCTGTGAGACAAACAAGACGCACTTTTGCAACCTGCTTCACCTACACGATGAGGACTACTGCTTTCCCAACGTGCTGAAGAACACAGCCCTCAACCGCAACCTGGGCTCAGTGGTGGAGGACCGCAAAGGCTGCCTCCAGCTCTGTCTGGCTGAGGTTGCCAACGGCCTGAGGAACCCGGTGGTCATGGTGCATGCGAACGACCATACCCACCGCATGTTCATAGCTGAGCAGGTGGGCGTGATCTGGGTCTACCTGCCTGATGGCAGCCGGCTGGAGGAGCCCTTTCTGGATATTAAAAGTATAGTGCTGGCTACACCATGGATAGGGGATGAGAGGGGCTTTCTGGGGATGGCTTTCCACCCCAAGTACAAATACAATGGGAAGTTTTATATCTATTACTCATACATGGATAAGAACCGAGTGGAAAAGATCAGGATCAGTGAAATGAAGGTTTTGGCATCTGATGTCAACAAAGCTGATCCACACTCTGAAAGGTAAAGTTCATGTTGAATGCTACTGTTGTGCCATGATGAGAAACTATTTTTCTCTGTCCCTGCCCTTCCCCCTTGCAGAACCTGCACATTCCCAGTCACTCTGGTTCAGGTGTGTAACTGGCATGATATGAAGCTACCAGAGACAGGTTGGATCAAGGTCACACTGCAGACTAGGAACAAAACAGAAAACAGGACCCAGGATCTAGATTTTGAGGTCATTTTCTCTCTCCATCTTGTACTCTTGCCTTCTAAAGAGCAGTAATATCCTTAAGCCTATTGTGAAATTAACATTTGCCCTAGAAGTGTTTTGTGCCATAGAAGAACTGGGATGCTTCACTACAGTACTATACATCCATTTGATCTGACATGTATGCACCTGCCTTGTCGCCCTGCTAAGAAAAAACCCTAATTGTCACTTATGGAGAATAATTTGATAATAGTAGATCTATTTGTTTTGGATGTTCACAATCACCATAAGCTGCTTCTGAAGCCCTCAAATTCACCAGTTGTTTCTCATATAAGAAAGCAGAACACACCTACTGCAATCAAAGTTTAAAGGGCGACAAGTGTTCCCTGCAGAAGAACACGTGATGTATTTGCAGCCGTGTTTTCAGATGAGCTGTGATACTCCTGTGCTCGTGGCGGTGGGCAAGCTCCGCAGCACAAGAGGCGTTAATGCAGTGCAGGTCAGAGCTGTAGTGTGTGGGGCGGCTGCAGTGCTGCACGGCTCATGGGAAACACGTTTCCTCAGGGGATGCCATACTGACAGGAGCTCTGCTGTAAGGCAGGCAGCTCACAAGAAACAGGACGCAACTCAGCACCCTGACAAAGCCGACACGTCTGTCCAGCTGGGAAATCTTGCTTTCTTAGAAGAAATGCAGAAATAGTAGAAGTGATGCAATATTTCTGTGGCCTACCTGAATACTCAGTCCTTTCCAGTAGCTACATCTGGAGTTCTTTCTCTTTTTTCAGGAATCTTTTGGAGCTTGAAGAACCGGCTGCAAACCATAACGGTGGGCAGCTGCTTTTCGGTGTGGATGGCTATATGTATCTCTTCACAGGGGATGGAGGGAAAGCTGGAGACCCTTTTGGAAAATTTGGGAATGCTCAGAACAAGTAAGTAGGAGGGCAGTTGAAAGCCTTGAGCTTGTCCACCAGGACACAGGGTTTGGAAATGAGGCCATGTGGAAGAATAAAGTAAGAGTGCTACCCGAAAGTGCTTGTGCCTCTGCAAGTCTGTCCAATGCAGTATTTCAAAAATTTAAGTGTTATGTTTTGAAAGCTGAGGGAACCTAATTTTTTGAGGGCGGGTAAAGACTTCTGTGACTTAAACAGGTTGCAATACATACCAGCTGTTGGTTTATCTCTTGGACAGATAACTTTTGCTTTGGAAAGGGAGACGAGGGAGAGAATTGTTCATTTTCAGTTGGCTCTCATGCTGGGATTTATCTTTTTCTGTCATTCTCTTTAGGAGTGCTTTGTTGGGGAAAGTCTTGAGGATTGACGTGGATGGAAAAAGCCCTGATGGAAAGCCTTATCGCATCCCTCCTGATAATCCATTTGTGTCTGATCCCAAGGCCCGCCCCGAGGTTTACGCTTACGGGGTCAGGAACATGTGGCGCTGTGCGGTTGACAGAGGGGACCCTGTCACGAAAAAGGGAAGAGGGAGGATATTCTGTGGGGATGTCGGGCAGAACAGATTTGAGGAAATAGACATCATTGTTAAAGGGGGGAACTACGGCTGGAGAGCGAAGGAGGGATTTGAATGCTACGACACAAAGCTTTGCCACAATTCCTCTTTGGGTAAGGAGGAAGTTTCTTACAGAAGATTACTTTATTGTACATGTGTATTTACTGGACTACAGGTCCATTTTTCCAGTGAAGCTAAATTATCCAGTGTTGTGTGTTAAACAGAGATTATTTACTACTTAAGAGCAGAATATTCCTTCTTCCCAGCTCTGCAGTGTTTGTATGAAATGATGCCCTGCTTATTCAGGAAATTCCCTGTCATACGCTGCACTGGACAAAGTGTTTAGGGTCAAAGCCTGTGCCTTTTGCAGACAGACAGAATTTTCCCCATGAAGTTAGGAAGGCAATGGATCAGGTTTAAGTAGAAGAGCAATCTTGTGTTTTCTTCAGAACCTCTTGAGCCACAGCTAAGGCTAAGAAGAGTGGACCAGGCTGATGCTGAGACCCTGAAACAAACCCTGTGGAAGAGGCAGTGTGTCTCGCAAGTAGGGTGCTGCAGTAGAACACCCAAAAGCTGTGCTCTGGGTCTGACTGTGGGTGTGATGGACAAACTCACTTGCTGCCTTTAAAAGAGAGCAGATATTGGTGGTCTTCGTAAAGCTCTCTGGAAAGCATGGTAGAAGAACTGGGTATTATTACAATGTTCATTAAGCTGTTGGAAGAAAACACCTGGTCTCAAGCTTATGTAGATGTTTGTGAAACATTCGTGTGAGCAGGCAAGCATAGAGTATGTTAACAACATTTATCCTCTGCTGTGCTGGTACCCACATGGCTCTCAAGGTTTTCTTTGTTTGGTTATTTTTTCTAATGGCCCAATTCTCAATTGACAACAAAACTTAATTAGATTTTTCTGTTAACATCTGTTTTTTAATGAATTGCATTTGTTGATTTTTATCCTCATCATTAAAGATTGAAGACAAGCTACTTGAACTGGGGGAAAAACTGAGGACAAGACTAAAATTTTGTGGGATCTGATATTCAACCCAAGAAAGGGCTGAATTCAATTTTAACATTGCCAGAGGCAAAGCCTTTATTTTATAAGACTCATGACATAAAATGGAGATAGCACACTTTTGCATGTTCTGTGCTGAGAGTGTCAGCAAACTTACAAAGATGTTGAATTAACTTGCAGTTGTTTGATCTTGATCCTATGTGTTATGGAAGCTCATCACGACTAAGCCTTGGTAAGCAACTACACAGAGAGCTCCTCAAAGCCCTTGGGTCTCTTCTGTCCTGGAGTAAGCTACTCAATTCCCACTGAAATTTAAGTATGCTGTTTGTTCAACTGTACCAGCCTTGCTAGTCATTTTTGTGCCTGTTGGTGTCATTGAGCAATTACTCTTTGGTGCTCTCTGGATGTAAATTTCCTTGCTTCTTGTGCTTCTGTATTTCACAGATGACATTCTTCCAATATTTGCATATGGCCGCAACGTGGGGAAGTCCGTCACTGGAGGTTATGTATACAGAGGATGTGAATCACCCAACTTGAACGGCCTCTATATTTTTGGTGATTTCATGAACGGGTGAGACTAATTGTTTTCTCTGCAGCTCCCATTCCGTACCCATATTTGCCTTATCTGGGCAAATAAGCATATCAGAGCATCCTGAAACTTTTTGAGCTAGAGTAAATGAGAATCCCAGATGTCTGTGTATTACATTAAGGGCTCTGACTATTATAACACCACTTTGGTTGGAATCTAAACTTCTTCCAATTTAGAGTCCTTAGGATAGATTTGCTTTTGTCTAGGTCCATTTTTCCAAAAGTCAAACATTAAAGCCTGTCAACAGTCAGGGTCCTCACTCGCATCTTTTTTCGAGTAATGCATGATTTTGACAGGAACTAATCTTGATAATGGAAACATAAAACACTGGGTTTTATTTTTTTCATCTAGTCGACTTATGGCTTTACAGGAAGAGGAGAAGGCAAATAAGTGGAAGCAGCAAGATATCTGCATTGGCAGCAGAAAAGCTTGTGCTTTCCCTGGAATGATCAGTTCTTATAGCAAATTCATCATCTCATTTGCTGAGGATGAAGCAGGTAGGTATCATGCTAGCTGTACCGTTATTGGAAACTGTACTGTCAGTTCTGTGTTGTAGGGCAAATGTGTAAAATTCTGTTGCTCCTCACATGCTGCTAGAGGGCAGGCACTGCAAAATAGGTCTGTGGCTGTCTCAGCATGGCAGGTAGCGTTTGTATGGGGTTTAGAGGAGTGTCTTGCCCTGTGAGGCTACTGCAGATCGGCTTGATGGAGAGCTCAGGGGACAGATCCTCATGTGAACTTGCAGTCTGAATGCTCCAGGTTCTCTCAGGAGTTTGAACTCGTGTTTCTTTCAGCCTTTCCCTGTCCTCTTGTTGTTTGTTCATGCTGTTTCATTAATGAAAAGACTATATCAATACAATTTGTTCTTTCATTGTAACAGCTCATCCTCACTTGAGTTCTTACAGCTTATCTGAATTTCCCCCACTTCATTAGTATAAATTCCTCAGTCTTATTCACAATAGCAGCACTTCACTCTGGATTATACACCAAGGCTGTATTTGGGGATGAGGAAAGCCACTAATTTGAAAGTTGAGTGGAAATGCCTGACTGCATAGGATTATTGCTATGGTCACGATGACCGGATCTCGCACCAAGGTGAAAGCACCAATGCATACTTTGTTCACTTTTGTACAGTTTCCTGACAGAGCTATGTAATACAAAAAGTGACTGTAAATTTTTTGAGAACCCAGATGTGCTTTAGTGAGCTCCGATGCTTCACGATTCAGCAGAAAAGAGATTTGCTTGTAGTGAAAAAGATCCTAGATCATCCAGCTAGCATATTCTGCCAAAGATTCAGGGAAATGCAGGCTTTGTCATGAAATATGTGCAATTTTTAACTGTTCTAACAACACGTGGAGTGAGTGGATGTTAAACATCTCTTCTACCAGTTGTTCTTTTAGAAACCAATATGGTGTTGTCATGTAATTTGAAATATAACAGTTTTGCCTCTTTTGCAAGCTACTATAATTTGCCTGGATATTGTTCTAGTGGGTGCTAAAGGGAAGGCACGAGGAGTAGTTGCTCTCCTTGACAACCATACACGAATAAGAAGCGTCTTTTTTCCATGGATTAACCAATTTAGCTCTCACTGGATTTTTTTGGTATGACTATGAGATAGCTAAATATTTTTTGTGTGGTCTTCCCCTGTATTTGTAGCTTCTGGCTGCTGCTTTGGTACAAACAAGTTTAAAAAATACATATTTACACAGACAAAAGTAGCCTTTTGGAGGGCCACTGACGTGAGGTAATGAAAGTCCTGCTCAGGCACTGTGCCCACCCGAGGGCTGCTGGTTCTATGTTGAACCCTGCTGCGACCAACAGAGATCACTTGGTGTCCCTGGGAGACCACCTGCACAGGCAAGGTGAGACCAAAGCCCACTTCTTGATAGTAAAACATAACTGAGGGAGTGCCTGAAGGGGCTTTCTTTTCTGACTGTGTGAACTAGTGAAGAGCCAGGGAAGAGAGGGAAATGAAGAACTGGGATTCGCCTTTGGGCACTTGAATCTGACACTGGTTTTTTTTTTTTTCACTTCCATTTAGGTGAGCTGTATTTTATGTCTACTTCTTATCCCAGTGCCTATGCACCACACGGGTCACTCTACAAGTTTATTGATCCTGCAAGGTTAGTGATAAAGGATGTCTTCCCATGCCAAATTCTTCTATAATCACCATACATTCTCCAGCTATCACAGTAGAAAGAATGCCAAGTACTACTGATACATAATCTCACTGACCTCTGTATCCAGTCCTTCGTTTTTGTACACCCACCATACATCTGGTGCGACTTTAATCAGTTTTAGTGAATTTATTCCTCACTCGTAATATCTGTGCACCCAGAAACAGACAGAGTTCAGATACCTTAAAGGTCCGGGACAGTAAGGGTGAAAACAATGTCTCCTTGGTTGCATATCTGAAGTATAGCACAGTGGTGTTTTACAAATTACAGTGCTTATCCTTCAGGATCATGAGATCAAATATCCATGATGCACTTTCATATAAATAGATACATTGCAGCCCACAGTTTAGTTTTCTTCACAAAGAAGAGTGAAACCTGCTGGTTCATGCAGTGTTCAAATAATAATGGAGCTTGAACCTGCATTTTTCTAAGCAAAATGTTTTTCCCCATTAAGCAGTTGTCCCTGCAAAAGTCTGTTTTTACCATAATAAACATGTTTATGTAATTTTTTTCTCCTCACAGGCTTTTGGATCTTGCTAAAAAGCATTAAATGAGTTTCAGATCACCCTGAAAAGTAGATACAGTACTAACGTGCCTGTGCTGTTGCAGGGATTTCTGACACTAACAAAATGGAGAAAACAAGATGTTTTCTTGGGAAGTTAAATCCAAAGCTAGATAGTTAACTCAAGCTCCGTACCAAGGTGATGGGAATAGGAACTTGAGTCTTTTACTTGCTGTAACTACTTGAGACCCCTGCCTTTAACAACTTATTGTCTGTCAGGAAGCTTTTAAACTGCCTTGACTGTGGCTGACCAAAATGTAATATTTTCAACTAAAAAAACCCAACTTGTGAGCTAATTTAAGTATTGAGAGTCTGAGCATGCTCTCACAAAAAGAGCCCTGCAGTCCCTATGCCACTCCTTAATGCGCTACGAAGACTGCCAGGATGATAAATCCTCTTCTCTTTCCTGCTGCTGTAAAGGAAGAAATGCAGCTCTGTGTTTTACAAGCAGCCTGCGGGAGCCTTTCCAGGAGGCTGCCTGCCTGAGGACTGGTGTGCAGTAATGCACCGTGTTGCGGTGACTCCACGGGGGTCAGCAAGCCCCTGCCAGGAGTGCGATGGCTTCACTGGTCAGAAGGGCTTTCTGGAACGAAGCCGGCTCTCCTCTGTGCTTTTGGAGCTTCATATCCATCACTTCTAGGGGAGGATTAGGCACTTACTCCCTTGGCTCTTTGGAATTTATTCTTGTATTTTCTGGTTCCCCTTGTTTACCTTAGCTCGGATGCTGCTCTGCCCAGCTTTGCCCTTTGTCTGGTTGCTTAAGCACTTTGCGAGCTTGTCCAGGGTGCGCAAAGCACTGACTGTTCCCCTGGAGGCTGAGCTTGTTTGGCCCTGGAGCAGGGAGTCCTAACACCTCCAGAGCCTGGGCTGTGCTCTGCCCTCCGCCTGACTGTATGACAAGCGGAGATTTTTCCTTTCTCTTTTGCATTTTAATGCTGTTTATGGGATTCTTCCATTCCATCTCGCTGGGGGTGGTCACTGGGATAACTGGCTCCTCTGACACCTCTGAGGGGCGCAGTCCCAGTTTGTCCAGCCCAGACACTCCCTGCTTCCTGCCCGCACTGCAGCAAGCACGCTGGCAAGGGCAGCAAGACACGCAAAATGTTGGCAGGGCCACTGCCATCCGCCTGATGGCAACTCAAACTTCCCTAGGAACCTCCCGGGAAAGGTGATGGCAGCAGTGTCCTGTGCCACACTTCAGCTTACCTATCCAGCAGTGCTCTAGGAGACAGCAGAGGGGCTGGTGTGCCTCTGCCTGGATTGGCACCAAATCCCCTTGGTCAGGAGCAGAGGGAAGAGGTGTCGGGGGGGGGGCAACTACACCAACCCTCTCAGAAAAAACCCACAAGCAATGCCAACAACCCTGCTTTAGTAACTTTTTTTTTCTTAATTGAAATGGTGTGGATGAAGCACTTGGCTTCTGCCCATGTCTGAAGGATAATGCTAATCACGAGAAAATGTGATGCCTTAAGTCATACTTTGCTTTGCTTTGTGCTGTCAAGCATGCTAGATTGAAAGAGCCTGTTCTTACTTGTCCTACAGCAGTTCCCTTGGTGGGGAACAGAAAACACTGGTCTGTTGCTGTTCTTTGTACCCCCTTCCTGTCATTTTGCATATGACAGCTTAACCTCAGGGAAAATGTGCCTTTTTTGGGGGTGTGTTTGTACAGTGGGAAGCTGTCAGGGTACAGCAGGAGAGGAACACAGATACATTCTCTTTGCAGTTGTTGCTTCCTCCCTCCTTGCCTGGTCCTTTCCTTTCTCGCCCCCCTTTGCTGCAGCACTATGTTGTGTCCGAAGTGACACCCTTTGAAGGTCACCATACCTTCCATGGGGCTGTGTGGGAGTGTTCTGCTGTGTGTACAGAGATCCTTACGCTGCAGCCTGAGTGAGCAGAAAGCACTGTCGCTGTCAAGCCTTATGTGTATGAGACTGCTCCACTTCAAGATGGGATGCACGAGCCAGTATGGTGAGGACAACCCAAACTGACTGATAGTCTGATGTTCAACCAGTGCATTCACCAGGCTCCTAGAAGCAGCGCTGCGCTGTGCCTCCAGCAGCAGGTTGTGTAGCTGAACACACCTAACCAGCATCCCTGAATTCAGTGGTGGGATACACGTTCATGCAGGCAGACCACACACAAACCAGCCAGCCACTGATGTTGGATAAAGACAGTTCAGACTGCCTGATAGCAGGAAGTTGACCAGAAGGGTGGTAGAAGAGAAGCTGCAGCCTTCCAGCTGCTATTGCCCTTTAGACAGGGATTTTATGGCTTGCAGCCCTGAGTTAGGCTCTTAAATTCCACCTGCTTTGCACTCCAGGTGCTTTCATGCCTCTTCCAGTAGAGGCAAGTGTCAGTGGGGGTTTGATGTCTGCCTCTGGAATAAATAAACTTCCTTAACAATCTCTCAGATATCTGCTTTCTGTTTTTCAAGGAGAGCTCCACCAGGGAAGTGTAAATACAAGCCTGTTCCAGTGAACACAAAGAGTAAGCGGATACCATTTGTTCCACGTGCAAGTAAGTTGTTGGGCTTTAGTTTTACTGAGAAGCAAAACAAATAACCAACTTACCAGGCATGTGATTGAAATCTTCATCAGTCTTAAAAACTAAAGCATTGAGCAGGAAGAATCCTGGAGTTAGATTATCACATTTAATGTGTGCTTCTGTCATCTACTAGATGTCATGCCTTTTCTTAATCCCAGTCTCTGATTTTTTTTTTTTCCACTAAGTGTTGCCAAGTAATAGTGGAAATGGGCATCCCAAGGGAACTGATGGAGGCATAGGATATTTAGGCATAGGATTTCATCTGGGAAGTTCTGAGCACCTGTCCCTGGCTCTGTGGCAAGTACCTTGAGACAAATAATTCCTTCTCAGTAAATCTAGAGGAGTCAATTTTTGTTTCTCTGGTCGTTCTCTGTCCTATGTCCCATGCAACTAGGGCAGGGGTTACATCTTATTATTGACTAGAAAGTGTTTAGCAATTTGAGGTTATCTTGTCTGAGATTTCCAGATATTAGTGTAACACAAAAAATTTGTATTGTTAAGCTTGCCAAAGAAGTGCACAAGGTTTCATCATGTTCTGTCTGGACTTATTTTCCTTAAATATACATCCATCATTTCTAAAACTAAACAAATTTTACTTCCAAGAAATGCAAGTCTCTTTTGATGGAAGAAAAGAGGTTTATATAATGTGTATTTCTTCTTTCAGAATGTCAGCTATTTTTCTTAGCTGTAGCTCTAGTAAGGGTTTGTATCAGTCATATCTCTGAATTGGCCTTTTACCTTAAAGCAGGGATGCTGAACCATGTTAATTACTTTCCTCAGAGACTGTCCTTGAGCTGCTTAATGAACCTTCAACAACCAGGCCTCCGAAAAAATCTTCTGCCCCCACTGCAGCCGTGCCAACTGTTTCTTCTAAGAAAGCTAAAAAGACCCCATCCACCACGATAAAATCATCAACAGTGAAACCAGCTCTGTCTGGTAAGAAGAGGCAGAAAATCAAAGCCGAGGCCAAACATCACAAGCCAATGCAGAAAGAGAACATGGCACGTGTTTCCAGAACTACACCAGCACCACCTTCGCCAAAACAGAAGAGTTCCCACCTAACCAGGACCAGGAAGCTTCTTCCAAAGAAAGCGGCACCAGCTAAGGAAAAACTGGAGAAGAGGAGGAAGGCGAGCAGATTAAGAAGCTTTTGAAGCTCAGTGGTGTCCCAGAAAAAGCAAGTTATAAGATGGTGAAACATTTGCTTTGAATAGTGACCAAATACAAGAGAACCAGCTGATGTTACGCCAGTGCTCCCCGGTGCGCCTCCATTAATGTCGGTGTTAGCAGTCTCTATGTTCTATTAAACCTTCACAGCACCAGCCTCCTAACAGCAGAATTTGCAAATAAAGTTACTGTGGCATCCTTTTCTGACGTAAGTAGTGGTGAGAGTCTCTGCTGGACATTCATGGGTAAGATTTGGCTGTGTATGACCAATTAATCCAGGTGCCTCCACCTTTCAGGACTGGCATCTTTTATCCAAGAATATGAGAGACACACATCAATGACCTCACCTTTCTCTTTTTTGGTTTTTTTTTTGTCCTTTAACTGAAATGCAGTGAAAAGTATATTTGAAGAGTGGTTGTCTCTCACACAGTGACATTTGTTTTCTTTTGGGTTTTTTTTAAGCAATATGTTTTCAAGGTATGGATCACTTGCAGGTTCCAAAGGCTTCAGGAAGGGCTGGCAATGTTCAGCCAATCTTAAAAACAAACCAAATCAAGGCAAGCCTCGCCAGTCCCGGTAACGGCTGAGTAACTGGATCGAGCCATCAGCTGGCTCCTCCCTGCACCCAGGCTGGGTTCTGGACCCTGGGTGGGGGGTTACGGGCCACGGCTCTCCCCGGCGTCAAAGCACGTGGCATCACCCTGCAGTTGGCACGTCACCTTCGTCTCCTACCGCCACCCGCCGGCC